ACCTGAACACATTTACAAAGGCTTTGTTCTGTGAAATCATTTGAACACACTAACAAAGACTGTGTTCTCTGAGATAACTTGAACAGACTACAGAATATTGTGTTATGTGAGATTACCTCGACACACTAGCAAAGTCTTTGTCATGTGAGATTACTTGAACACACTAACAAAGACATTGTTCTGTTAGATCAAAAACTGTTGTCTGTGAGATAAATTGAACCCACTAACACAAATCGTGTTATGTGAGATTACCTGAACACACTAACAAATACTTCATTCTGTGAGATTACCTGAACACACTAACAAAGACTGTGTTCTGTGGGATTACTTGAACACATTTACAAAGACTTCGTTCTGTGAGATTACCTGAACACACTACCAAAGATTGTGTTGTGTGAAATAACTTGAATATACTAGCAAAGACTTTATTGTGTGAAATAACTAGAACACCCAAACAAAGGCTTTGTTCTGTGATATTACTTGAACACGCTAACAAAGACTTTTTCTGTGAGATAAATAATACACACTAACAAAGACTGTGTTCTGTGGGATTACTTGAAACCACTAACAAAGACTGTGTTCTGTGGGATTACTTGAACACACTAACAAAGACAGTGTTCTGTGGGATAACTTGAACCAACTAACAAAGACTGTGTTCTGTGGGTTTACTTGAAAACACTAACAAAGACTTCGTTCTGTGAATTTAGCTGAACAATCTACCAAAGATTTTGTTCTTTGAGATTACTTGAACACACTTACAAAGACTGTGTTCTGTGGGATTACTTGAACACACTTACAAAGGCTTTTTTCATTGAGATTACTTGAATACACTTACAAAGACTTTGTTCTGTGAGATTATTTGAACACTCTAACACAGACTTTGTTCTGTGATAACAAAAACTGTGGTCTGTGAGATAACTTGAACCTACGAACAACATCTTTGTTCTTTGAGATAACTTGAACAGACTACCAAAGACTTTGTTATGTGAGATTACCTTAACACACTAACAAAGACTTTGTTCTGTGAGATAACTCGATCGCACTTGCAAAGACTGTGCTCTACGAGATTTCTTGAACTCACTAACACAAACTGTGTTATGTGGGATCACTTTAACACACACACAAAGACTGTTCTTTATTATTTTGTGGTATGATACGGTTTCAGCGTTATATCAAAAGCTGATATTATTAAGGACGAACATCTATGTACCTCCGTGTATAATATATGCATGCGGTGTGGATGCGTTATGTTTCTGTATTTATATCATTGCCAGTGCGCATATCTTGTGCATGATGATAGTTTCGTCTTTTCGCTTTGTTGCCAGCAAAAAGACGCCAAGCAAAAACCGAAATAACAAAAGACGAAAATCCGCTAAAGCAAAATAATGAAGTCACGCCAAAGCGACAAATTAAACAACGAAAAATGAAAAACCGCCAAAGCGAAATAACAAAAAGACGCCAAACCGGTGTTATTTCGTTATTTACCTTTTGTGCTGTTTCGTCTTTGCGGGGTTTTTTTTGGCGTTTTTTTTTTTGTCTTTTCGTTATTTGGCGTTTAGCGTTTTGGCGTTATACCGTTTCTACGTGTCGGCGAGTTTTCGTACATTTGTATTACGATATGTCATATGTACAGATTTGATGATAAGTGTAAAATGCTGCGTATTCTGAATATAATGCCGAAGGCCCCCGCCACAGCATTCCACCCGGTCACATCCTGACAACGGGTTGACCAATTTTTTTTCTCATATCTTAAATGCTAAACATTTAACTGGGAATTACAACTAACCAAATTTAAATTATTTTAGTATGTCTCAGCCCGGGGACAGACCACATTGTCTCCTGACTCCTGACATTGGCGTACGTTCTGCAATATAGCCAAAGTGAGCTGGTGCCAAGGGAGGAGTTACGAGATATAACGACACTCAAGTATAAACAAGCACAGGCAAAGACAGGATGAGGAAAGGTAAGGTCCGAACTGCTTCAGCTGGCTGCGTCATATACTCCTATGTGCTATTTCTGTACAAATGAAAATACCTGGTATCGAAAGGAGGGATGGATAGCTGTTTGTCTGGTTCTATCCCTTGACCAGTCTGGTGTTTGTAGTACATTGTACATACATGTATCCTACATAGCTACCAGTACTCTTATTTAAAGGGTTCTACGCACCTGCGCCTCTGTTTCAAAACTGCTTTCGATAATTTTGATTTTCAATTTGTTGGCCCCTGGCATCACTGATGAGTCCTAGATGGACGAAACAGCTGTGTGGGACAGTGCGATTCATATTTGGCATACTGTGTCTATTAACCAAAGTTTAAAGGTTCAGTCTCCGGTATGTGTGTAACGTTCATCTCTCAGGAGGCAGTGTATTGGTGTCAATTATTTATACACTGTTACGTAACTATTGAAAAGCTACAAACTTACAAAATTATATCATGGCCACATTAAACAAAATTTCAAATGTACCAAGACAAAAGCCGAACCTGTCAAAACATTTCGGTATTCTGCCATACTTGTGAACCTAAAATTATATTCAACGGAAACCATCAAATATCCCCTTTTGTTTCTAGCTCAGAGGATAGTCAGAGGCCCAAATGTTTTCCGTCTTTAACCTATTTTGAACTGCACTAGGGAACTAACCATTAGCCTATTTACAATCATGAAGTAATTTCTGTCATACAAATCGAAAAATACATGCATACAATAATTAAAAACGAATATCTGGAAAATCATAAACTGAATATTAAAATGTTAAGAGGTAATATTCACCTAGTCAGTAGATGTGTTGTCCGCCACTCTGACATTCGTAACGCGATGAACACGGATTACATCCGTCACGGTTAGATATATTGATCTGCTAAACGATAAATATCTCATGGTAAACATTGTTTGGTCATGTGCAGTGTTACATAATTACCATTAGCTACAAAGTTTTTGTTATTTGTTTTTTTAAAGATCGTCATTTTGTGAAAAACGTGATGACGTTTACAAATAGAGTTGGATGTAACACTAAACCGGTTTCCTGTCGGGTTTAATTTCAATATTACTAGATTTGATCCGAAGTTATTGTTTATGGTATTCCGCTTCGCTGATTAATTGCGCAAACAAATAAAAAAATAGCGAAAAGTGTTAAATCATTGCGTTGTGGCATGTATGACTTAAACAAGAGCTTGGATGGTCATTAATGTCGGTCATTAGAGTGTCAGATATCTAAGTGCTATTTACCTATAAGATAATTGAATACGTCTGCATTTTTCTTCTGTGTACTTATATATCTCAAACTAAATGTAACACAGGCAATGACCCGGTGAAAATAGGCTTGCTTACCAAGAAGCATTAAAAAAACGAATTTAAATTCATTTTTTTCGCCGTATAATTTTATTGCCTGTCCATTGATATAAGCTGTCGAACTACTGTATGCACAGTCAATCATTCTTGTCTACCCATTTGTTCCATAAGAAGTCTTTCTTATTATTGATCGGTGAATTTGATTAAACTTTGTCAGATTCATCGTCCGAATATTTGAAAAGTAACATGACTTATTGTGTGCGGAATCACAAAAGTATATGTTCGGTAAGAAAAGGGACATGTCGTTAGACCTCAGGATATATGGAAACACATGCTGTTAGGTGTTATATAAGGGAGCAAATGACTATGCTGTTTGGAAACACATGGCCATGCAGGAAACAGGAAGAAGGTACGTAGACTTAAATCTGGTGGATAGAACAGATGGTCTATCTTTTGCTACAAAGACGCATGTACAATACTGCTGTTTTGGGATGAGGCATTGCCATTCGACCCTTTATTTGAACGGTTCTTATGTATAATCTTTTGACATGCTTCAGTACTTTGTCTCTGTAAAACTTGGCAGTGATAGGTTTTCCTTCCTTGCACGGCCATTGAACCACTGGTTCGTTAAAATTGAAAAAAAAAGACATGCAAGTTTTTTCTTGGCGCTCTTTAAACGTCATGCAATCACTGACTTGATTTCTCGACACCCGTTGTTTGCAATTAATGCGCCTCCGGGGTTTAAAGTAATAAGCCCAGGTCACGTCCTCTGTAAGAATTAAAGATAGCTTTCTTGAGTAGAAATTGCCGTACTTTTTCAATATATCTTAAGCACATTTCAAACATTTGGCCTTTTGTTCAAATGTCAGCAAATGCAGAAAACATCGGGCACAAAGCTTCTTAAATTCAAAGCATTTGGTCAGAACGTGATGTATGCTGCCTTCTGAAATGCCAACAATATTAGCTATCTCTGAAATAGTATAACGACCATCATCCTTAACTATTTCTTTCACAGCAGCAATGCTTTTCTTTGATGCTACAACAACTTGCCTGCCTGGCCGTGTGTCCACTTTGATGTGAACGTTACCATTCTAAATGTTGTTCACCCACCTGAAAACCGTTCTAAATGTGGTGGCAGAGGTGCCTTTATGATGCACAACTCTGCATGTATCTGTTCTGGCGGTATCTGTAAAGTAGATCGTTTTCCAATATAGGAGCATATACCAGATGTAGCTCCAACCTTCATTTTGCCACTAGTCACAAAACCTTACTATTCAAAAATGAATAACGTAATCAATTCTTGTCGGATGATGTCGAATGTTTTGCACGAGCTTTGCTCTTTAAATGCTTTTGCCGTCTGATCAGGCGCTGAACTATTTTATTCCGTAATGGAACATGTACGGGAGCTGTAGGGTGACAGAATTTATTTCATTTAGTCGTACGCGAGCAAATGGCCATGCTGTTGGGCATCCAGATGTACATGTACGGTAACACATTGTCATGTTGTTAGGCGCTATGGCATACGGAAACACATGGCCATACTTTTCAGCGACAGTCATGTATGTATGGATACACATGGCCATACTTTTCGGTGACAGTCATGTATGTATGGAAACACATGGCCATACTTTTCGGTGACAGTACATGTATGTATGGATACACATGGCCATGCTTTTAAAAGTCAAGGTATACCGTAACACTTGGTTCCATTGTTTGACGTCCAGATGTACAGAAAAACATGACTATTGGGTTTTGCGTTAGAATGCATTGAAACACGTGACTATGCTTTTGGGCGTTAAAGGTATTGAAATACATGACCAAGCTGTTTGGCGTCAGGATGTATGACACGCATGGCCATGCTCTTAAACGTCAGAATGTACGGAAATAAAATGCCATACTGTTTGACATTAGGATGTATGAAAACACAATACGATGTTATTTGTCGTTTTGGGTGTATGAAAACACGTAACTATGCTGTTTGACCATTTGATGTATGAAAACACGTGACTATGCTGTTTGACGTTAGGATGTATGGAAACACGTGACTACATTGTATGCTGCTTGGCGTTTGGATGTATGGAAACACGTGATTCTACTGTTAGGCGTTAGTTGGTATAAAACACGGGACTATGCTGTTTGATGTAAGGATGTATGGAAAAACATTACTATGCTGTTCGGCGTTAGAATGTATGGAAACACGTGACCATGCTGTTGGGCGTTTGGATGTATGGAAACACGTGATTAGGCTTTTGGGCATTTGGATGTATGGAAACACTTGACTATGCTCTTTGGCGTTAGGATGTATGAAAACATGTGATTATGCTGTTGGGAATTTGGATGTATAGAAACAAATATATGATGATATTTATCGTTTTGGTGTATGGAAACACGTGACCATGCTGTTTGGCGCTAGGACGATGGTAACATGTGACTATGCTGTTGAGCATTTGTATGTATGGAAACATATGACTATTCTGTTGGGCATTTGGATGTATGGAATCACGTGACTATGCTGTTGGGCATTTGGATGTAAGGAAACAGATAACTATGCTGTTTGGCATTATAATGTATGGAAAAACGTTATTATGCCGTTAGGCATTTGGTTGTATGGAAACATGTGACTTTGCTGTTGGGCATTAGGATGTATGGAAAGCCGTGACTATGCTGTTGGGTGTTTGGATGTATGGAAACACGTGATTATTCTGTTGGGCATTTGGATGTATGGAAACATGTGACTATGCTGTTGGGCATTAGGATGTTTGGAAACACGTGATTATGCTGTAGGGCATTTGGATGTATAAAAATATGTG